CCAATTCCAGTGATTGAGGATCAACTGAATGTTCTTAAAGATAAAAAGTATTTTAGTATTCTAGACCTAAAGGATGGGTTCTACCACATTCGAATGGCCGAGGAATCTATCAAGTACACTGCCTTTGTTACGCCATTTGGCCAATTTGAGTTTATAAAAATGCCGTTTGGGCTAAAACCTGCACCGACTCGATTTCAACGGTTTGTCAATGAGATAATGGAGGAGGTAATTCGTGAGGGCGACGGGGTAGTGTATATTGATGATTTCTTGATAGCTACTAGTACGTTAGAGCATCATTTGGAAGTTTTAACCCGCGTGTTTAAACTAATGGTGGCGAACAAATTGAATCTGAGAGTAGACAAATGCAAATTTATGTTTACAGAAATCGAATATTTGGGGTATGCTATCTCCTCATTAGGTATAAGCCCGACCGATGGTGGTATTGAGGCTGTCTCAAAATTCCCTATACCTCAGAATGTACGCGGTGTGCAGTGTTTCGTTGGGTTATGTTCCTATTTCCGGAAATTTATAGAGGGATTTGCCATACTGGCTAAACCGTTATACGACCTGTTGAAAAAAGATGCCACATTTAATTTTAAGGAAAAGGAGTTGAGTGCTTTCAATTCATTAAAATCGAAGTTAACTATAAAACCAGTATTGGCGATATACGATCCGCACGATTATACTGAACTGCATTGCGATGCTAGTTCTTACGGTTTCGGGGCTGTATTGGTTCAACGAAAAAGTGATCTAAAATTGCACCCCATCTTTTACTTTTCTAAACGGACAACTGCCGTAGAAAGTAAGTATCATAGTTTCGAACTCGAAACATTGGCTATTATATATGCACTCAAGCGTTTTAGAATATATTTAGTAGGCATTCCGTTTAAAATACTCACTGACTGTAATGCTTTGAAACTGACTCTACAAAAAAAGGATATCAATCCTAGAATTGCCCGTTGGGCCTTGGAGTTACAAAATTACGAATATACCATTGAGCACAGACCTGGTGACCGGATGAGGCATGTGGATGCCCTTAGTAGATCGTTTACCATTTGTGTCATAGAGTCCAACCCGTTTGAACACAATTTGGCCATTTGTCAGTCACAGGACGAAACTATTTCCAGGTTGCTGAAGGGTTTGGAGAAAGCGGAAAGTCCTTTATTTGAATTGCGTAATGGATTGGTTTTCCGTAAAAAGAAAGATAGTCTTCTCTTTTATGTCCCAGAAAGTATGGAGAAAAATGTGTTGTTTAGATATCACGATCAGATGGGACATAGGGGAGTGGAGAAAACATTAGAGGTAATTTCGCAAAACTATTGGTTTCCACAATTGAAGGCCAAGGTGCAGTCGCATGTTGCTAATTGTCTTAAGTGTATGGTATATTCACCCACTTCCGGAAAAACTGAGGGTACGTTACACTCGATACCGAAGGGAAACATTCCATTCGAGGTGCTGCACATTGATCATTTAGGGCCCGTAGATAAACATTGTTCGGTTAAGAAATACATTTTCCTAGTCGTTGATGCATTTTCAAAATATGTCAAATTGTATGCTACAAAAACTACCTCTAGCAAAGAAGCCATTAGGGCACTGTCCGATTTCTTTAACAATTACAGTAAACCCCGAATTATAGTGTCAGACCGAGGATCTTGCTTTACGTCGCAGGAGTTTAAGAGCTTTATAGAAAAATTGGGTATTAAGCATGTGTTGATTGCCACGGGTTCGCCACAAAGCAATGGTCAGGCTGAGCGATTGAATCGGCTAATTATTATTCCCATGTTAGCCAAGCTGATTGACAAAGAGGAAGACAATCGGTGGTACACAACATTACCGCAGATTGAGTACGCATTGAATAATACAAAGAGTAAAAGTACGGACGAAACTCCAAGTCGATTGCTCTTCGGAATCGATCAGCGTGGTGTTGATAGTGACTCAATTAAAGAATATCTGAATACCGAAGTAACCGTCAACGAACGAGATTTTGTAAAGATGAGGAATAGATCAGCAGAGAAAATAGTCTTAGCACAGGAATACAATCAAAAGCATTTTGACAAAAGGCATAAGAAACCCCACACATACAAAGAAGGAGAGTATGTTTGGTTGCGCAACTTTGATAGTACGGCAGGTGCTTCTAGGAAATTGATTCCACAGTTTAAGGGGCCTTATGTTGTTGTCAAGGTGTTAAGAAATGACCGTTATGTGATTTCTGATATTTCGGGTTTCCAGAATACACAGAAGGAGTACAAGGGTGTTTGGGAAGCTCGAAATATGCGACCATATGTTAGATCAGATTCTTGAAGTGTATGAGCATTTAATTTGCGTAATATCGTTATTTTGTTTTGTGTAAGATCTCCATTTAATTTGCGTAATATC